AACATCCCTCAGTATACTTCATATTAAATGCTAAATATCAGCATTGTCTATTTCTTAGCAATATAACTAAAATAATGTGGCTTACAACAAAAGGATGCAGTTCTTACTCTAAGTTTATTTATTCAATAGTCCACATAAGCAGGTTTGGCAGTTGTTACAGGGCTGCTGCTTAAGAGAAGACATAATGAATATTTATTATATTTTAGAAATACAGTGTCTGTTCTCCATTGGTTGATATGAGTGCCCTAGTTTTCTCTGGAGAAATGCCTCTCCTCTCTCGAGTGCTCCTGGTGGTGGTATCTTTCAGGTATCCTTTCCACTGGCAACAGGTAAGCATTATACCCATTGTTGAATAATAGTAACCTCTTTTTCAGGATTTTGAGTCTGTAATTCAGTCACACATGAACCAGAATGAAATTGTGAGAACCCATTTATTCTTGTCCCAGAATTCTTTTGAGACCACCAGTTCTGCTACATTGATTCCCAGAATAACTTTGGATTCTATACCTTTTTGAACTTGGTTCTCTGGCCTTCTGTGTGCTTCCTCATAACTTCTCAATAAAAATGTTTTCGTTGTTTTGGGATTTATTGCTTAAGAGGAATGAATTAACTGTTTCTTACAACCTGAAGCCTTTAATGGATGAGTTGTTGCTCTGAAGTAGTGTGTGGATAATAGTGAGTTAAAGAAAAGTAGAATATGTAGTTTGTTTTTTTTTCCCTAGGATTAAGAAAAATTATATTCCAAGATATGAATTTTTTAGCTCATTTATGAAATAGTGTAATTAATTTTGTTTGCATACACTGGGTCCTTGTAGCCCCTGATAAGATTCTGGAACATCAAAGAACTATGGCTTTATAAGAATTTTAAATTTGTGAGGAAATCCAGGACAGGAGATGAAGTGGCTCAATTTGATCATCCCATACCTTAGGCCACAAGAATGATAGGTGTGAAGTCCTCAAATTTGATCTCAAGGTGGATTATCAGACTCACCAGCTTTCTGTGATGTTGCTGAAGTAACATTTCACTTATAGTCACAGGGTTGAGATATTAGAAGCCAAATAGTATATATGACATGGTGAATTAAAGAGTCAGTGCACCTCAAATGCTTACTAAATTTCTTACGTAAACGTGCATTGAAAAAGTTACCCCTTGATAATATGAACAGGAATATCTAGGAGGAACCTGAGGCCTCAGCCTGTAGCAATTCTTATGATATACTTTGCACTGTCTGTTCTTCATTTAAGGATATAGACTAAGTGTTGGCAGTATATTAATATGAAATTCAAGCTTGAGTGTCAGTTTTTCTTGGAACATATCTGAATGTATTTGTGTATTTGATGCTGTTGCACTGCAATGGCAGAGTTGAATATTTGTGTCAGACTCTTCATTGCCCACAGAACCTGCCTACTCCTATGTCTTGAAAGAAGGAGCTTATTCTGTTAGTGCCCCATGCCTCATTGTTAGCAGTTTGGTAATAGTGATCTACACTAAAAATGCCTGAGATGGGATTGCTCATCTCAGGATAGAGCATAGATATTACACACTGTTACAAGGATTAGCAGTATATCAAAACTAATGCAAAATACTTTTGAAAATAATTTTTGTGGGTATTCAATCAAAGTTAATTACCTACCCAGTCAATGTGTATTTAGTGTGCTAATACTCAGAGTTATTATTTTTATGGTTATGGCTTTAAAAGTGAGCTGCAGGCTGAGTGCAGTGGCTCACATCTATAATCTTACCACTCTGAGAGGCCAAGATAAGTGGATTCCCTTAGCTCACAGGTTCAAGACCAGCCTGAGCAAGTGTGAGACCCCATCTCTAAAAAATAGGTAGGTGTTGTTAGGAGTGCCTGTGGTCTCAGCTGCTTAGGAGACTGACACGAGTGAATCACTTGAGCCCAAGAGTTTGAGGTTGCTGTGAGCTATGATGCCTTGGCACTCTACTGTGGGTGACAAAGTGAGACTCTGTCTCAAATAATAAATAAATGATATGTTCTATGCTTTTGACACTTTGATGCTAGTATATGTAAAGGCAAATAGCATCAGACTATATGGAATTTCCACAGGCAAAACTTCATCAAAATAGAGCTTTAAAAAAAACCACTGATATACAGTTAGTAACCACATTCTATGGTAATCTTTGGTTACTCACCAGAATATCCTCACTAAAAAATCCACACATTTATTTGGTATTGGGATAGTAATATGCGCAGAATAGTAGGAAACCACATTTCCCTTTGCTGGCAATTGGTTTAGGAGTCATGTATCTGACTTTCTATCAATAATGTAAACTTGAAGTCTGCTGGGTATTTTCCAAAACTGGGTTTTTTCTTTCTAAATTTATTTTTGTTAGGAGACAGGGTCTTGCTTTGTTGTCCAGGCTAGAGTGCAGAGGTAGGATCACACTTCACTTCTGCCAGGATCTTGTAGCCTCAAGTGATCCTCTCAATTTGTCCTCTTGAATAACTGGGACTACGGCAGGAGCTACCATGTGTGACCCAGGAGTGGTAGTATTCCTATTTGGTGATGTTTACGAGGTCATTTTCCTCTTTCTCTCTGCTTTTTTTTTTTTGTTTGTTTGTTTAAATTTCAGATTAATGTGAAGGTATAAACAACTAGGTTACAATGTTTGTATTTGTTAGGTAGAGTCAAGCTTGTAGTTGTATCCGACACCCAAGAGGTATGCCATATACTCTTACATTGTGCCTGTTAAGTGGGAGGACACTAGTCCCCCTCTTTCCTCTTCACCTAACTTGAATTGAATTGGGTTTTTCTCTTATGTGAGCCTGTATTATTTCGTCTACTGGTTTCATATTAGTTTTGAGTACATGGGATACTTGGTTTTTCATTCTTATGATACTTTACTAAGAAGAATGTGTTTCAGCTCCATCCAAGTTAATATAAAAGATACAAAGTCACCATCTTTTTATGGCTGAATAGTATTCCATAGTATGCATATACTATAATATGTTAATCCATTCCTGGGTTGATGGGCATTTAGGTTGTTTCCATGTCTTCATGATTATAAGTGGATCTGCGGTAAACAATCTAGTGCAAATGTCCTTATGATAAACTGATTTTTTTCCTTCTGGGTAGATGCCTGGTAATGGGATTATAAGGTCAAATGTAAGGTCTAATTTGAGTTCTTCGAAGATTCTCCATACTTCTTTCCAAAGAGGCTGTATGACTTGCAGTCCCACCAACAGTATGAAAGTGTTACCTTCTCTCCACATCTGTGCAGCTTTGCAACTTTGTGATGTAGACTACTCTTACTAGGGTTTGATCATATCTCAGGGTGGTTTTGATTTGCATTCTCTGATGATTAGATATGATGAGCATTTTTTTTCATATGTTTGTTAGCCATTCATCTGTCTTCCTCAGAGAAGATTCTGATCGTTTGTTCCTTTTTTTTTTTTTTTTGACAGAACCTCAAGCTGTTGCCTTGGGTGGAGTGCCGTGGCATCACATCTCACAGCAACCTCCAACTTCTGGGCTTAAGTGATTCTCTTGCCTCAGCCTCTCAAGTAGCTGGGACTACAGATGTTTGCCACAATACCTGGCCATTTTTTGGTTGTAGTTGTCATTGCTGTTTGGCAGGCCCAGGCTGGATTTGAACCTGCCAGCTCTGGTGTATGCGGCTGGCACCTTAGCCATTTGAGCTATAGGTGCCAAGCCTGTTTGCTCTTTTTTTGTTGATTAATTTGAGTTCTCTATAGATCCTAGTTATCAACCCTTTGTCAGATTTGTAAAATGCAAGTATCTTTCCGAATTCTGAAGGTTTGCTTTAATTATTGTGTCCTTAATTGTGCAGAAGTTTTTCAGCTTAATTAAGTTTCATTTGTTTATTTTTCTTGATGCAATTACCAATGAAATCTTAATAAAATCTTTCCCCGGGCCCAACAGCATCAAGAGTTTTTCCCACACTTTCTTCTAGGATTTTTATTAGCTCATGTCTTAGATTTAAATCTTTTATCCATCTTAAGTAAATTTTTTTTAAGTGATGATAGGTGCAAGTCTAGTTTCAGTCTTTTAGACGTAGTTATCCAATTCTCCCAGAAGCATTTATTGAATAGGGATTCATTTCCCCAGTGAATGCTTTTGTTTGGTTTATCTTAGATCAGATGACAGTGGGAGACTGGGTTCATCTCTTGGCTTTCTTTTCTGTTCATATGTCTATGTCTCTATTTTTGGGCCAATACCATGCTGTTTTGATTATGGACTTGTAATACAGCCTTAAGTCTGGTAGAATGATGCCTCTGGCTTTGTTTTTATTATGAAGAATTGCCTTGGCTATATAGGTATTTTTCTGGTTCCACACAAACAAACTATGTTTTCTAGTTTTTCAAAGTATTATGTTTGTATTTTAATGGAGATTGCCTTCAATCTATAGATTGCTTTGGGTAGTTTAGACATTTTCACAATGTTGATTCTTCCCAACCAAGAGCATGGTATGTTCTTTCATTTGTCAA